CCCCCCCCCTTCTCTTTCCACCTTCCCCCTTTCCTCTCTTTGCCCATTCCACCAATCACTGATTAGCGGTCGAAAAGTAAGGTGTGACGGATGTACGCTGTAGTTTGCTGTTTGTAGCGCTACGTTAGTGTACCAGGAGCACGAACTCGGCTCAGGCCACTCTAAAGTTGAATTGGTAGCGCAAAAAAGATAACATATCGGTAGCTTTAATGTGTCTGATTTAGTGTCAACTGTTTTTAGACTGTGATCTCATTCGTGCGTAGCAACTGGAGCATGAGAGGGCGGCCTACCGTATGTTTTTTACTCCGAGAAAATAACTTGAGGTACAAACAAACACATCAGAGACCTTTAGCATCAGGTTTACTGCTTACTGCTAGGGATCAGGCCCAGAAACACGCCCGTAAACACCGAGAAACACTTAGCATCAATGAATTTCAATATGGCGGCTCTTCCAGCAACAACTTCGTTATGACGCCTTGCTAAATGACGAAAGTTTGACGGAAAACGCCTGACGTCGTACTGAAGTTCGATGTTTGCGGGGCTAGCAAGAAACGTCGTGCTAAGGATCTCTAGTAGAACTCGCCTTGGCTAAAGATTGGAGCAGTTAGCCTCTGATCATAGCACGCGAGAATTGTTATATATTGTTTATACGACGTAAATATATACCTTGCATAATAGTTGAAGTGCGACCCGCGATGTTCGATGTCTCGTTCGACGACTAGTATTTCAACGACCGTCAATCAAAGAACAGCAATAAGAAAACCAATATCTTGATTGAGATATCGCGCTGAATTAAAATTTTCAGAGGATAAGAGGATTAAATTCTTTAATGCAGTCTAATATCTTCCTCAAGAAATTCCTTTTTTTATTGCTGCTCTTTTATTGACGGTCGCTAAAATGCTAGTCAGCGAACGAGACATTGAACTTCACGGTTCGCATTTCAACGAAAATGGTAGTAATGTTTACCACAGAAGTACCGAATACAGCGAAATAACGAAATATCATTTCGGCTTCACGCCAAACAGTCACGCCGTATTTCACTCTATTTATTCCATTAATTTGAATCTTTGTTTATCTCGTGGTTTATCTCTTCAGAGGTAAACATTTCCACGAAATGTTGAATCTTCTGGCATCTTTCAAGAGCGGTGAATGTGGTGATGCTAAAGTACGGCTTGGCAAACTGCAGGTAAGAGATCTAGATAGTCAGCGGAATTCCCCTCTAACTTCAATTTTAACTTCTCCCCTTGGGTTCCCTGTGTGCTTATCCATCCACTTTAAAGACGAGCTCCTTAATGCCTACATTTTACTGGCAAGGATGGTCCTGTTGTTGTGTATAGATCCAATGCAGCACGTCGGAATGCAGCTCAATTTGGATGACAAAACGATAGGTTTCCAATTCTCTTGAGATTGAAATTCTTTTGTTTTGTACTCCAAATGGCTTTGACGTCATATACGAGGGGTCTATACACCACAGATGTCGCAAACAGCAGCATTGAGAGGTTTTTATATAATCACAGAGAAAGGAAGTGTTGAGTTCGTCTATGGTACTTTACTTTTGAAAAAATGCTAGTTATCCCCTGTGAACTTTTTGGCAGTTACAACTGGTTCATGTTATGTATTTTGATCAGACACTTATCTCCACCGGATGCGTGGAACACTTGGACTTCGTGCAAGGAGACGATGAGTTGAAGTGAGTGTTATTACAAGTACATCTGTAAAAATACAGAAGAGAGGGATGGTTTTTGGTTTGCCTTTTGCATTTGATTTTGGTGAGCCAATCCCCGGCTCTTCCTTTTCCTACCTCCTCCTCTCTTCCTTTCCTTCTCGTTTGCCTCCTCTTCTGCATTCTCCTCCGTACCTCTCCTCCCCTTCCTCCTCCACCTCCTTTTCCTGCCTCTTCCTCTCTTCCTTTCCTTCTCTTTTGCCTCCTCTTCCTGCATTCTCCTCCGTACCTCTCCTCCCCTTCCTCCTCCACCTCCTTTTCCTACCTCTTCCTCTCTTCCTTTCCTTCTCTTTTGCCTCCTCTTCCTGCATTCTCCTCCGTACCTCTCCTCCCCCTCTTCCTCCACCTCCTTTTCCTACCTCTTCCTCTCTTCCTTTCCTTCTCTTTTGCCTCCTCTTCCTGCATTCTCCTCCTTACCTCTCCTCCCCTTCCTACTCCACCTCCTTTTCATACATCTTCCTCTCTTCCTTTCCTTCTCTTTTGCCTCCTCTTCTGCATTCTCCTCCATACCTCTCCTCCTCCTCCTCCGTACCTCTCCTCCTCCTCCTCCTATCTTCCTGTCCTCTTCTCCCTCCTCCTTTTCCTCGCCTTTTCCTGTGTTTTTCTTCAGTCCATCGAGCAGTGAAATAAAACCAGACTTGTGCGCTTCCTTATATCGCTACGTTGCTAATGAAGACTAATCGTATCACCTCGTGTTCTTGTTCAGTCCATTGTCCGGTGAAATAGAACAGGAATCTCCGGGTATAGAAGAAGATTCAAGAAAAAAGTCCCGGTTCAGTCGACTGAGTCGATCAATGACCATATCAGAAGAACGTTCTGAGGAAAACATGGTAGAAGAAGAAGATGGTAGGGACCTGGTGACTAAATCACGTGAGACCTTAATGGCTGATCTCCGGGAACATTGCAGCCTAGATAGGTAGGGTCTCCTTATAACATGTTAACAGGAACCTTAAGCTTCAGGAGTCGGACCTTGAGTCACGGGAGAGACCCAAAAGACCAGTTTCGAGTTCCAAATTATCACCATCGATTAGGCTCTTTTATCAGGCACTAACGGAACAGGAATTTCGTAATTAACACCACCATTTCAATTCAAACAGGCAGATGCTTATCCTTGAAGAGCTTTTCAAACGAGAAGGCAAAGATTTTCGGACCCCGGAAGGTACTTTATACGAGCGAATCGATGCGGTCTACCGACAGGCTGGCTACGAAAAGAACTGGTCAGTGGTGCGAAGAGGAGCTGGGCTGCTAAGGAAACTGGTGGACAGTCTTGCGCCTGGAATCACTACACTACTGGTCTGCGGTAAAGTGGTAAGAAAGTGCTATAAGAAAGTGTTCTTCGATTGCATGTTGGTGCCCTTTAACAAAGGATTTCTCATTAGCATCCATTGTTAATGGCACCACAATGGCCGACATGTTTTTGTCTTTTGACTCTTTTGGGAATGCTTGCAACCATCAACTAGAGTGGTTTTTACCCGTGAAATACGCTTTAGCTTATTAAGCACTACCTCACGATAATTCTTTTGTTTTCTATTGTCTTTTTGTGACACTCTAATTACACTCTAATTACACTCTAATTAGTACACTTTGTTTCACGGGTTAATGAAAACCACTCTAAAAATGAATTCATTAAAAATATATTTACTCAACACTGACTAGCTAAACATAGAAACAAAACCAAAGCGTGAGAGTAGCTTCTGAGGAAGATGACTTTTTGAATGAATTTAAAGGCGATTGGCAAAGTACCCTGTGAGCAGAGATTGCGTTTTCCATCCCGCTAGGACGAGAGGAAAAAGGAAAAAGTTCCTTTTTCCTCTCGCCCTAGTGGGATAGAAAAGGGAATCTCTGCTCGCAGGGTATTGGCAAAGAGCTAAGAAGAACTTTGAGAACGTTTATGATTCTTCACAATCAGAGTAGCACAACACCTGATGCTAATGAGACCGAACACATGCTTGATTTCAGTAGTCATAAAATCGTTGATAAAGAACGAAACAACGATCAGAGGTTATTCTTGGAAGCATGGTTTACTGTGGGAGACAAGAACGGTGACTGGAATCAAATCTCATACAAACAGAGACTATTTTAGAAGAATTGCATTTTATTGCCCTTTTTTTTTCCTTCTTTTTAATGTTGTACTTTTTTTTTTTTCCCCGTTTTCACTTCTTGTATTATTTATTGAGTAAAAGTTGTACGTAGATCCCCTAGATGAGCGTCTTCGCTCTTGGGGTTAATGTATTGAACAAATATATCGCCCGCGCATAACTAATTTGAAATCCGTGCGCAAGCCATGATTTTTTTCGTGTGTGATTGGTCGAATTGTGTTTTCGAGCTTTTCATTGGTGCAGGAGTGTACCCAAATGCTTTGCTTAGTTTCCCAGCGTAAGATTAGTGCCCAGTTCCCCATTCTTTTCTTTCAAAGCGAATGACGTCCAAAATAAGATTGACTTTCGCTTATGAGGAAGCTCTAAACTACTAAATATTCTATCCATCTTGTTTAACTGCGTGACAAAAATCGTTGTGTTACTTTCAGGTGACTATTGGCATTTACGGTCACGAGGAGAAGGTTATTTACGAACCACTGACCCCAGCAACTATTCAGGTATGAGAGTCACGCAATCGTTCTTGACATTCAAGACATATTCCAGTAAAACCAGTTACCATTTGCTCTAACAGTTTTGTGACACACAAAATAACATGGTGACATTGCGTGACTTAGTAGTATCACCCTGTCACCCTATTGCAAAGCATGGTGCAAATAATTAATTAAAGTCACACCACAGTGACAGTGCTGGCGATCGAGGGGTTAACCTCATATTTATCTGTCTGTGTGTAGAATATCCTGAACACCTTTTGTTACCCTCATGATCTCTTTCTAACACATGTGTATCTATGTCTGTGCGTAGAATATCCTGTACACCTTTTGTTACCCTCATGATGTTAGAGAAGCTGTTCTACAACAAGAGGTAACTATTGTATGACTGATACTTTGTTTTTGCAGGAGTCGCTCATTTCTTTAGAAGATAACTAGATGATCATAAACTTACAACACCTATTTTCAAAATTAAGCGATCAATAGACCCGTTTCGAATTCCAAATTACCGCTGTGTTTCTTGATTACAGACTCATTTGCACAGGGTTAGCCTCGAGTTTGTGCAGAATATTCACGTGTTCCGTCGAGTTTCAAAATGTTTGTATTGTTGAAGTTGTGCATTCTTTACTTTTCTGTTGGTATTTGTGAATATTTAAAAACTGATACGAAGCTAACCCTGTGCTAATGAGTCTGCAATCAAGGAACACAGCGGTAATTTGGAATTCGAAACTGGTCTATTACATTTAGATGTCTAAGTTTTTGGCTTTCATCCATCAAGAATATACTTACCCGAACCGCTTGAAATATCATGGACTGAAGACCAAAACCCAGAAATCCCATATTCTAGTTACTTGTTTTGGTCGTGCTTAAGCTGTGCGACTATCATTTTTAATCTATCTTCAAGTCTTGGTGTTTCTGTTGTTAGATGGTACTGTACATGGCTTCTTACATCGCCACGATTCCCGAAGCATTCGAAGGAATACTCAAGATCCGTATTGGGTGAGTGGTTCCTTCATCTTCCGTTCAACTAAATCATCAGTTTGCCTTATTAAAGTTTACAGGACGAATCCTAGGACCGTTGGGCTGAAATTACTAAAGCTACTAGATGGCTTATCGGAAACATACGTTGATATCCTGAAACAGTATCTGGGCTGATCAGCGAACTTACAGATGGAACCCTGAAACAACCTCTGTGCTGATCAGAGTCAGGGCAAGGCTAACTCACAGATGGCACCCTGAAACAACCTCTGTGCTGATCAGAGTCAGGGCAAGGCTAACTCACAGATGGCACCCTGAAACAACCTCTG